TCTCCGGAACTGGACACAGCCCTCCAAGTGGGGCCTTACAAGAGCGGAGTAGAGGGGCAGAATCACCTCCCTCGACCTGCTGGCCACAAATACAAATGATCCTTCCACTTTTGTAAGGAAAAGTCATAATTTTCTCAGATAAATGGGGTTTCAATGCAGCAAGCAGATTGTCCCCCTCCTACCCCAGCAGCTTCTAGGAAAGTCAACGTTGGGTGTTGTTGTGGAACCACAGACACTCTGGGGCACGTTGCTCTCGGGTAGGTGCCTAATGAAACCTTTGAAACCCACCTTGGGGTCTTTCAGACAGCCCGTGCACCCACCCTAAAACATGAAAGAGGACCAACTTCATGACCCAAATCCTTTGCACCCACATGGCTCCCACTCAGCCTTGCCCAGGGCCAAAGCATCTCTCAGAGCCAAACAAACCCAACACATCCCAACTTCTGCCACCTGCCCCTGGACCAAACAAAGGGTCTTAACACCTTTCTTACACCAGAGATCCACTTGGCCCCACAGCCATTCCCCTGCACCCTCTGCCCGTGGTGCACTCTCCCATAGGCTGCTGCTCACCATCCTCGTTGCTATTTTGCCATCTGATGGCAATACTTCACACTGCACTTTGCAGGGACAGTGTTGGATGAGGATGTGGTGGCTTTGGAAAACCTCTCAGCAAGATTTCCACCCCAGCAGTGCTGCTTTGTCTCTAGTTTTCAGCTGGGATGATGTTCTGACCAGCTCCCACCTGGAGAAAAAGGGTCTTTTCCCGATAATGGGTTCAGCTTGTGATGGAACTGCTCCAGGATTATTTTCCTTCTGTTTCTACAAACTTTCTGTCCCATAATTTCCTAGAACTGAGAGTGATCCCATCCATTTTCCACCATTTCTCTCGAGCCTACATCAGTAAATCAGAGTCTGGTATTGATTAGGAATTACCTGGCTTTGTTTTCCAGCATCCCCATCTACTTCTGATAAATAATTAAACCATCCATCAGGAGCTTCATGCTGCTAACCAGTGTATGACCATGTCCTTTCATAAGGAGATGGATTCCAGTGGGTCAGAAGGAGTTTCACAACCAATTTTGTTGAGTTTTTTCCCCCTCTGTAACATCCATAAAATGAAAAGCCACATCCACTCTGGCCATGGGGCACAGCTTGTCTGTCTCTAGTTTGGAGATCTTGCTCCTGGAGATCATCCAAGGTTGAGTCCAAACACTGTCCCTGCTCATGGAGGACTTCTGCTGACTGAACTGGGAATTAGCATTGACTTACAGCCTCTTGCTGGCTTTTCCTCTTTGTAGTAGCATTTCTAGACACAACTTTAAGATGGGACACCCTAAGTGACCCAAATCTTGACCTGAGTTGCAATTCTGGATCCAAACCTTTATTCAAGACAGATGCCTTCTGGGATTTGGGACATGCTCAAACCTAATGGGAGAGAGGCATATGAAAAAGATGTTTGCAAGAGACACAAGACAAACCAAAAGCTCATTCTCTGAATTGGAAGGAAGAGATCTGGATCCCAGTTTGCCCACTTTTCTCATCAATACTGGGAGAGAATGAGGAAGCTGGCTGGAAACATGGTCACGTAGAGGAAGTATACAATGCTGAGGCTGGTATCTTCAGGCCAGCAATGTTGGAAAGAAAAGCAGAACTAAAAAGCACATGGACACAGCAGGGTGTAAATGGCCTATTTAGAGGAACTTGCTCCAAAAGATCGAAAAAAAACAAGGAAGAGGTATGTCCCACATGGAGAAGGAGTTTCACAAGGTAGGGTGATAAAGTGCTCAGGAGAAGACAGGAGTCAAAACACACAAATTTCTGGGGAACAAGACAGATTGGCCACAGGATGAGGTTGGACATCAGAAAAATCCTCCTCTGCAGGAAGGTGGGACAACCTCAAATGGGTGTCCAGAGGGATTGGGGACCACCACCCTTGGAGGTCTTCAAGATTCGACTAGCCAAAGGCACAGCCAACCCGACTGGGTGTTGGAGGCAGTTGTGTTTTAAGTGGACCACAAAGGTCCCTTTGAGCCAACACCACCAGCCACTTGGGCACAAAAATATCTTCAGTTTCAGATCTGAACCACACTGGGGGTGCTGAGGGCAGCCACCACTCCCCACACCAGCCACAGTCTGGACAGATGGCACAGCCAACACACAGCCTCAGTAGAAACCTCTCATCCTGGTTGTGCCGTGCCTCACCATGCAACACCCTGCCCCAAACACCACCAGATCTGGGGCTACTGAAACACGGATGATGATCTCCAGGAAACAAAGGACCTGAAAACCTTCAGGAAAGCCTGTGTGGGGCATCTGCCTGCCACCACCTCTGGACTTCAGCCACAGCTCCCTCCACACACACCCACACCAAACAACTCAGCGGTTCCTCAGCTGTTTACCGAAAGGGATGGGTCCCTGTTCCAGGAACACAGCAGGTTTACAGCCCTTCCACCTCTGCTTCCCGCAGGGAAGAGACACACATTGCCCCAGGAAGGACATGAGGACTTCCTCAGAGCATGGAAAGAGCTCATCGTTGCAGCACATCCTTGCCCTTTGACTTTCACCCTCCAAGATCCCTTCAGAGCCGTGGTGGCATCGCCCAAGGAGGGTTGGGTGTGTTTGGCAACTTCCCAACCAGGAGAGGAAATCCCCATCCAAGTCCAACCTGATCCTTAGTCATTGCAGGAAAAACAGGTGACGAGAGGGCAACTCACACGCTCCCTGCGAGCACGGCACAAACACCAGGGTCACCGGCTGTCACCTGCTCCACCAAACAAACCACACAGGCTGGAGAAGTGATGGGATGCTCAGGAGTCATCACAGCCATTTCCATGGTCAGAAAGCAGGTGGGATGTCTTGTTAGGAGAAGGTCAGGAAAAATGCACCCATGGGTGTGTATCCTGAGAGCAATGCAGGGCCAAGATGGGACAGTTGCCAAGGAAGGAGGTCTGCTCTCCCACCAAAGCTGTCCCTCAGGGCTGGGCAGGACTTACACTGACTCTCTGCTGGATTTCATCCCAAGAAATATCTGGCTTTAGTCTTCTCTGGGCCAAAAATCACCCTGTGTGGAAGGAAGGATGAGGTTTGGGTGCTTCACTGTCCCTTCCTGGTATGGTGTATCCCCAGGCTGCAGCTTGGCTGGGAGCTAGGTAACCTCCAGATCCCTCTCCTAGCAGGGACCTTGGCCTCCCTTCCTAGCTAGGACCTCCCAAAGGCTGTGACACTAATGCTTCTCGTTTCCTCCTCCTCCATCACTTGACTTGTCAAGCACTTGTGTCTTGGCAACGAGCTGATGATTATTTTTTTTCCTGGAAGTGAAACTTCTCAGAGAGCATTTCTGGAGATGGACTGTTGACATTTTGTCAACCAGCTACCACATATCCCACCACCATCTCTTGCTGGCTACAGCCCACCAGCATCTCCAGCCTCCAGTTAAAGAGCATAAAGCAGTTTTGAAGGAGCAATACCAGTTACAGCAGAAGGGACTGTAGCTTCAGGTTGGCAACAACCAGTTTTGGTGGAAACCTCAGTCACCAACCCTTGCCAAAGTTTCTCCACAAGACTAACAGTTCCCAGAGCTTTTCACACCATTGCTGCCCCAAAACTGGTGCTGAGGCAGCTTTGAGACACCAACCTGGGCTTGGGAAAGGATCCAGATCAAAGATATGAAGCAGCAGGATAATTTCTGCAGTGGTGCAACATCAAGGTTGGAAGGAACTCACCTTTTTCTAGGAGCCACAAGACACGATGCTGCTTCACAACCTGCATCTGCACTTGTCCACATGGCTACAAAACTCCACGTGTTTGCACCACGTTCACCCATCAGTTACTGAGCAGCTCAGACTATCCCCACTCTGGTTTAGGAGCTGCCAAGCTTGGGGCCAAGATCTGGTGCCCACAGGAGCTGGTTTGAAATGTTTGGAGGTTTTAAAGGGTTTAATAAATGTTTTAAAGGTTTGGATTTGCCAAATTTGAGACCTTCAAGCAGCAAGAAGTGGGAGATTTTTCAGCCTTACACAGTCACAGGATTTTATTTCCTCGAAGAAAAGCAATCTGAAGATATTAGGAAGAAGTTTTTCACTGTGAGGGTGGTCAGACACTGGAACAGGTTGGCCAAGGAAGTTGTGGATGCCCCATCCCTGGAAGTGTTGAAGGCCAGGTTGGATGAGGCTTTGAGCAACCTGGTCTAGTGGAAGGTGTCCCTGCTGCTGGCAGGGGGGTTGGGACTGGATGAGCTTTGAGGTCCCTTCCAACCCAAACCATTCTATGATATGAAGGGCTATTTTTAGATTTCAAACACTCACACATTGCTCCTCCCAGGTCACCAACAGGTTGCAGGTGTTCCTGCAAAAAAATAACCACGTCTGACCATGAGGGTGGTCATCTTCATTACTGGTCTTGTTGCTTTTCACATTATTTAGTCAGCTAATTCCCAAAAGCATTACATGAAGGGAAAAAAAGAGTTAAAACAAGACCCAGCTTAAGGGCATCCACACAGCCTGGAGCTCCAACCAGCCCTGGTCCAGGTAGATATTTCACCACATTCCCTGAATCCTTAATCACAGGAGCAACCCCACAGTGAGATGACATCACACAACATGTCTGCAGTGCAACTTCCTTCTGGATTTGGGGAAAAGGCTCCAATTCAGAGCAGAACATTCACACTTGGGGCGACTGCTCTCTGCAAAAACACTTCGGTAGATGTTTGACCAGGAGCACGTGCTCAAGTCTCTGCTCAACACATCTCACTGTAAGAGCAGAACAGTCTTTACCAGCAAATTTGAACCTTAAAGACAAGCATCAAAATTTACAGAGCAAAAGTATCATGTGTCCTCTTAGAGAACAGAGGAGAAGCGAGCAGAAGACCAGCCCACACAGTCACCTGCATTTTCAGAGCTGGAGGACAGTTTCTGGGGATGTTTTGCTAATGAAGCCCCAGCAATATCATAGCTTTGGCTCAGAGAAAGTTTTGAAAGCCAGGACCAGCTCCGTGATCTTCTGTCCAGGAGATGCAAGAGCCACCAGCACTTCCCAGCTGAGTGTAAATCTGTCTGCGATGCTCTGCAAGTGCCACCTTCAAAGACTGATCACAGTGACACCTCCAGTGGGTCTTCTTTGAAATCCTCATGGTCCTCATTCTCCAGCTGCTCCAGTTTGCTGGATTTCTCATGGATAATCTCCCCAGGAGTCTTCAAAAACCTGCAATTCATTTTTTAGTGGTTTTCAGTGCATGTCCAAACCCCGCCCTGAGCCAAGCTACAAATGCTGGAGCCTTTGCTCTCATCAGCTGAGCTCTGGAGCTCACCAGAGGGCATCTGCCCATCCCTGGGCTTTGCTGAGGATCTCAGCTCTTGCTTTACACCCAGGATGCACTAAGCCTGGGGAGACTAAGCTCAGAACTCACTGGACCAGAGCAGGCACTTGAAGTCCAAACTAGTCCCAAGGACGCAGCCAGCACAGAAAGCAGAAGGCTCCTGACTCATTTCCACCCCTTCTTCTGCCTGGAGATAAACTTTAGACCTGGTGTCACTGGAGAACAGAAGGGACCTGCCAGCTCGAGTGGGCTTGGGGACATTTCCACCAGCACCAGCCAGACCCCACACAGGGGAGCAGATGGATGGTGGCCCCGGGGCAGGTTGCTGGCCCACAGCCCTAGAAAGTGCATGGGATGGGACCTGGAGCCCCAACAGCCCAGCTCCCAGTTTGCACAGACCCACCAGGGTGTCACATTTGCAGAGAAGAATCTTGTTAGAGGAAGCAAACTACCAACATCTGGAGTCCACCACCTTCCTGTACCCCATCGGCACTGTCTACTTCATCTCACCTGAACAACAGCTTCTGCCCCGGCTCCTTTTTGATTATGTTGAGTTTGTAATAATGTCTGAGAGCTCGTGACATCTTCTCGTACGTCATGTTCATCCGGTTCTGGAAGAAGAATTGAGGGTGTTTGAACAAAAACAAGTACCAACACTTCATCTGGGTCTGCCTGCAGGAGGACCACGTGTGGGACATTTGAGGTGGTTCTTGGCCATTGCAGGAATGAGAAGTTTGTTCTCAACAACATTTACCTTGTGGTTCCCCCAGAGCTGGGCAAGTCCATGTGGGTTAACGACCCGGAAGACCTTGGCTTCCTTGTCTTCCCACTTGATGTAGGGCTCATAGCGGCTGTCAGAGAGGAGCTGGTACATGTAATCCCACAGCAACCTGCAGTCTGAGCATGGGTGGAGAAGAAATACTCACAGACCTCCCACTGCAGCACCTACACTCCACTGAAGGTCAGTCAACAGCAGCATTGCAGGTGTTAGCAATGATAATGAAGAAGAAGAGCCCAGAGCTCATGCTAGAGCTCAAAACACTGATGGGAACTACAATTTTTCAAGTGAGGAAACTGAGGCAGGGAAGCACACAATGGTTGTGGAATAAACAGAACAGGGACAGATGGGCAGACAGGACAAAGCACCATCTCATTTCCCCGAGGAACCAGGCTAGAAATTCATATTTACCTGCAATTTTCCCATCCACTGGGGCTGACAGGGTTGTAGGAAAGGAGCAGGTGGCATCAACCCTACAGGTGCCCTCCAAGCTGGGATGGGAGAGGTTCAGTGACCCTGCATGGCTGTAGGACACAAGCTGTTCAGAACAGCCCAGGTAGGAGGGAACAGCAACTGGAGCAACCTCAGAGCTACAGTCTGCAAGAAGAAACCAAAACCACCCTGTGATGCAATATAGGAGGTCCCAGAAGATCTTCTGAAGCCCTGAAACAGGTGGGGACAGCCCAGGTTGGTTATCAGCCTAGTACCAGTCCAACCAGAGGAGGCAAGCATTGAGGAAAACTTGGGATTTTCCTAAGGCAGGAGCAGCAGAAGGTCCAAGGCAGTTAGAGAAGATGCCAAGCAGGGTGAAGGTCAGGTACAGAAGAGCTAGAACAAGAGAATGCACCAGAATACAGACACTTACTTGTGAACTGCTGTGGTGGCCTAAGATGTCCAATGCCCTACACCAGAAGGGCTCAGGAAAACACTTCCCATATCCACCTCAATACAAAGCCAACTGAGACCAACCCACCCAAACTCCTACATAGGCCATCTGAGAGCACTAATAAGCCTCACTGGCCCTGACCAGCCTCACCTGGGACCTCTCCCTGCTCCACCCATGGGTCCAGGAGGTCTATTTAAGCTCTGCCCTGGCCCATCACCCCTTTTCTAGCTATGCTGTAGGAGAACTAGTCTCCAGCCATGCCTGTGTTTCTGTGTGGCTATTGATTTCTCCAAGCCAGATTCCAACTTGCAAATACACTTCCCAGTGTAGACATAGTCTCTCCTGGTCAACGTGGAGCCACCTAGTGATCCCAAAATCTTATTCTGACCAGACCTGCTTCATCACCACAAGCTTTCTTGATGACCTGGACTTTATTGGACCTGGCTGCCATCTCCAGGACTGTCCTGCTTGCCTTGCTCAGGTAAGTGTGGGTAAGATGGCTTCAGGTGGTTGAGATTCAAGCCCCAGATGTATGCAACCCACCATAGCTGAGAGCAGGTTCTGCTTGATGGACAGCTGCTATTCTGCATCATACCTTCTTCTGTGCTCCTGGCTTCCCTGAAGGGTGGGTTGAGCAAAGGGCTGCACACCAGAGCTCTTCTTTGAGTCTTAATGTACTGGAGTATTTCATATAACACATCACCTACAAGGAAGGAAAGGCTGCTGAGATGATTTGGTGTTAGAGATTCTCTCGGTTGATGTTGCTCCTCAGGTTTCTCTCCTACAGAGTAAGAGGTTATTCCCCATCCCAAAGCATTTGCAGTCCGGATGGACTAAAGGAAGAGGGTTGTCCTTGTCTCCAGCACCCAACTGGCCAGGTAAAGCTAAAGCCTGGTCTGGTGGGACCCATCCAGCCCCTCTCAGCAGACCACAGCTCATGCTGTATGCAGATGGTCCTCAGAAATGATCTAACCTGAGCTTGGAGCTCGGTATCTGAAGTCCTCCTTGGTGAGGATGCACAGGGCTTTGCCGTTCATTTCAAACTTGCTTTGGTCCGTTTGCCGAAGGGAATATTCCTTCTCAGCCCATCTTAACCAGTGGATCACGTCGTCCTTGCTCCACAGCGAGGGCTGGATTCCTGAAACCAGGAGCAGCCTCTGAAACAACCCAGTCTCCATCTTCAAAACTGCTGAGGGGCAGGGTGGGACACTAGTCTTCTCCATCACCAAACCTTCCATCTATATTAAGCACTCACAGGTCACAAACACCCCAAAGAGAGAAAATGAACCTTGATGACTGGTCCATCTTGTCCCACTTGACAGCAGGGAATGGTCCCCCCTGGGTGGGACACCACAGCTGTACCCATCATGTCCCACCCTGTGGGAACTCCTTTTTTTAAGTAGCATTGATTTGCTCAACATCTACTCACTCAGCCTGCCTGGAAGCTTGAAGATCTCCCCCTCACTGGTGGGTGTGTGTCTGGCCTGGGACTGGGGTGGTAACGAAGCTGTGACCACGGGGCTGGAAGAGGTGACTGCCACTTCACCCTGGGGAAAAGAGATCAACACATCAGGGGGGGGGAAATTCCCAGCTCTGGTCCTGCCTTTGCTTTGGAGATGCCTCCACCACAGGAAACACTGCTCAGATAGTTTCTCACTGGTTTCTCATAGCAGCATGATGTGCTGTCTGCAGCTCTTCCACACCAGCTCTAGGTCCTTCACCAGCCTCAGGATGAATCTCTGGTTGCCCAAGAACAGCATTAGTAGCCATAGATCTCCCTCTCTTTCTCCAGCTCTTTTCTTTAGCAGAGGTCCCTGCCCTCATCCAGGCTCTGGGTGTGGGTTATCCATCCCCACGGCTGCAGGGAAGTAGAAGATGAAGCCAAGTCTTGGCAGAACCTGCAGTGTCCGTGCTGACCCCAGCTTCCTGCAGGATCTGCAGATGTTTGTTGGATGCCCAGGGTTTTAGGAGGGTACTTCAGTTCTTTAGAGTTGTGAAAATAAAGCTGGTGACAGTGCTTAGATTTTGTCTTAAAGACCATGAAGAGCTCTCTAACTTCTTCACCAGTGATCATTTGGGTGGAAATAGCCACCCCAGGGTTTAGGGAGTTGTCCCCTCATCTTGCTCACTTGCCATTAAGTCAGTCCCAGCCCCTCCAGAATTACTCCCCCCTCTTGGTTGCTTATTAAGGAGCCCCTCCAGCCTCACCAGATGGTCAGTGCTGGGAGGAGAAGCAGCCCCAGCACCTCTGCTGGGCTGGGGGCTCAGCATCATAGAATCACAGTGGTTGGAAAAGCCCTTTAAGATCATTGAGTCCCATCATGAACCCAACACTGACAAGTCCCCAACTAACCCATGTCCCTCAGCACTATGTCTACACCACTCTTCAATCCCTCCAGGGATGGGGACTCCACCACTGCCCTGGGCAACCCCTTCCAATGCCTCAGAACCCTTTCAGCAAAGAAATTCTTCCTCACATCCCATCTCAACTGCCCTGGGCACAACTGGAGCCCATTTCCTCTTGTCCTGTCCCTTGTCCCTTGGTTGAACAGACCCACCCCCACCTCTCTGCACCCTCCTCCAAGGGACTTGGACAGAGCCACAAGGTCTCCCCTCAGCCTCCTTTTCTCCAGGCTCAACACCCCCAGTTCCCTCAGCCACAAGGGAACTCAGCACACTTGTGCTCCAGACCCTTCCCCAGCTCCGTTCCCTTCTCTGGAAGGTCACCCCCCCTCTGCCCCCAGGCACAGGAGCCAGAAGAGCGCTCAGCTCCTGCTCTCAGCCCCATCTCGATCTTGAAATATTACCGGCAGCCAAGCAGATAATGTTTCCCCTTAAAAATCTATTAAGGTGAACACCAGCAATTTCTCAGCTTCATTCTCTGGAAAATTAACAATTTTGTCTGCAAATGGTGTTTTCTGAAGCAGTTGCCAACTGTGGGCACTTCAACCCACCTTCAAGGCAGATGTTTGGAGGTGGTTAGAGCAGCCAGTGCTCCTCGACTGTGTGTGGGGGGGGAAGAGGAGCTGAACCCACCACCCTAAAAATCAGAGGTGAAGGGGGAAAAAAAATCACAGTGAGCACTGAGAGAGCAGAGGGTGGTTGGACACATCTTAAATTCAAAGCTGGTGTCTCCAAAGTTGGGACCATGGGAGACAGGAGCAAAGTTCTCCATCCCTTCCCTGGAAAATGGTTTTCTGGGGGGAAATGCCCCAGTTTGGTGATGGGGTTTTTTTCACCAGAAGGATGAGTGTTAATTTATCTGCTGGTGGTGGGATGGTCGTTGGTTGTCTTGGGGTTGTTGGGTTTAGAAAACAAACACCTACATGATATTGGATGAGGAAACCAGAGAAACTCCAGTATAAGCTCTGCCCAGGTTTGGTAGCAATACAAACTGTCCCTTGGAGTTATTTTAAGCAATAAATTCCAGGAAAAAATAAAAGTGAAAGAAATTAGTGGTGTATTTTGTCTAGAAATCATCAGAAAAAAGGTATTTTAGTTTCCTCCTGTCACTGTGACTCTTGCAACGAGATTTACAGGAAAAACAGACCAAAAGTTTGATCTTTTTCTTGCTCCTGAAGATTTCCAGGGTGTAAGAGCCACATTCTGAATCTTTATTAATTTCCACTGGTTTATACTTTTGCTTTTTCCCCCTTTTTAGCTGTTTTCACACATTTCCGAGATGGCATTTCCTCACTTCCAGAGCAAATATTGTCCTTGGAGGGGTTCGAAAAGTGACAAAAAGGGGGTGAAAATGAAACCTCAGAGGTGAGAGAGCAGCTTTAGGCTCAGTCTTAATTTAGGATTAAGATTTATTATTATTATTAAATTTATTATTAATAAATCAATTATTATTAATTTAATTATAGACACTATTAATTGTTATTATTAAATTAATTAATGATAATATTAATTGTTA